TCAGGCGTAGATTGACTACAAGTGCTACCAAGTGTAGCGGATCTACACAGCTCCCTAAGTAAGACGGCGACTTAACGCTCTTACGAGCAACTTAGGTTCGAGAATCCGACTCCTGAGAGTCACACAAGCTCAAGAGCTTACGGTCCCTGTTCCAAAGGGGACCAAACGATTCAAAAGAATCACAGCACAGAGTGCTCAAGGATAAGCTACCTTCACAGGCGTTGCCTAGTCCTTACGATCAAGACGCCCCGTAGGGCACGTGTCTCTTACTGACCAAAGGGAACTGAACTTTATTTCTTCTTTTAACCTAAAAGAACACCTTAGAACAACGTAATTAACCTGACCTAAATAAAACCTCTTAAAAGGTCTCGCAATCAATGGTTGACAGACATCAGTCTTCAACAATTGATACACTTACTGTAGTCTATTATCACTTTACAGGGGACCCCATCTCTTGTGTGCACCACACCTATTGTAGACTATCAGCCGACGTGTAACTTTGTTACACAAAGGGACCTGCAACAGCTATCAACATCGAGGAGCATGACTTGCAGCTACAAAACGAGGTCCTGTAGCTCCAAATGCTAGATCGATATCGTGTGACGGCCCTTTACGTCCCAGTTGTCCTGAACAAGGGCTCTCTGAGAACGAGTCTACCGACGGCGCAATTTACACGCGGAAGAGGTGATCAAACGACCGCTCAGACTGATACTTCGATCCTGGCAGCGTAGCTAGACCATTGAAACCTCGTTCCGCGGTGATTCTGATCAAGAGATATCGACGTGTGTCACTACTCTACGGACACTTTGTATCTTCATCGCGGTGATCAATCAAGCGAACGGAAGGGCGGTGGTTTTGTTGTCCCAGACGAAGAATGATCGAGCGCAGCAATTAATCTGAGACGAGTGCGTGAAATGTCGCCAGATGATCACGTTCGTTATAGCATGGCCTCGTCGTTGATTGAAGATTGAAAGCCTGATTCGTGACCACAAGAGTCTTACACAACTATTGGACGCGGTGGCTTCCCTCGTCTTCGAAAGAATCGCATGCTGATTGTACGGCCGGGAGAATTATAGCTTGACGTAGGATGAGCGCGCACATTACCGGGCATACCAATGGTGTATGAATTATGTAAGCGGCGGAGCTCAAGCGATGGGCTGACATTCGTCAACATCCATGTCCACTTCTGCTCACGACTGTGCCTGCTTGTTCATTTAGATCCCGTGATGATAGCAAAACTAGGTTTCAGATGTCAATTGAAATGTAATTTGTTCATCGATGCTTACGAACCTTTTGTTCTATTGCTTGGGCACCGTGTTCTGCATCAAAACGCACCAGTGCTCCTCCAGATAGCCGAGTATTCTCTGCTTACTCGTCTTTCTTGGCTGCAGTGCACGACATATGCGTTGACATATGTTTCCTTCTGATCGAGGAAGACACCGTTATAGCTGATGGTAAGAAATACACTATTAATGTCGTCATCTCTTTCCCCCCCAGTAAAGCGCTACCCCTCTTTCTATTTTCCTCGGGAACGTTGTATACATGATCATCACCAACTTCCTCGCGTCAACGTCAGCATCAGTGTCGGCGCGTGATGAGTGGGATGCATATTCTCATTTGTCCGACACGTGACAACCTAGCCGCGACCCGAGATTGCTTGTAGAGCACAACTTTACATCGCAAATGTACTAGTGACAGATAGTGCAATCACACACAAACGCTTGACGTCATTGTGCGCGTTTTTTAGAACCGCAACAATACGTGAATGCTTGCTGATTCTGTCCAAAAAACAGTTAGCTTTGTGCTCTTGACATCATCTTCGTGGAATCTACTGCCTTGAACATGTGGAATCCGTAATGGATGAATCATTGTAAGGAGTGAAGAAATTGACTACATTTGCTGACGCGTCTCGCAAGCAAACAAGTACATGTGCACGGACTGACAAGGGTGGGGCCCGTACGTTCTCTCTTGGTTGTGGAACAAGATTCCTCACGACCACGATTCCCAATACAAGACGCATCGTGGCACCCAGTCATTTTCTGTATGATCGGACCAGTGTGAATCTGGACTTTGGCCAACGTTGTGTTTCCGACAACACCCGGAAGATACATCAGCTGTCGGAGGAGGGGGGGGGCGGTGTATGTATCTGGTGAGTACCGATACGCCGCTACGAACTCATAAATATCCTAATATACCATCACAAGATTAGTCATACCAGTTCCATAACTTGAGCGTGCGCCTCTATCACGTCTTCAAGCACTTGTTGACTAGTGGTCTCCATCAGCGTCGAGATGAAGTCGCATATGATCATAATCCATGAGAGGATGTACTGGATGAGGAAAGCCGACTCTCGCCACTTATAGCGTAAGGCTTGTACTGCTCACGCCCATGCGTATCGGCGCATGGTACGAATGAATTATGATGGATCAATCGATTAAAAACAGAGGTTAGAGGCTATCTGTGCATACGTCTTGCCACGTTACCGTTACAAGACAAAGTACACTGATTTGTTTTTTCTTTCATTATCGGCGTACAAGTAGGCCTTAAAAAACGCGTGTCCGAAACCCGCGCGCTATGGTCAAATCGAGCTCTAAGTATCATACTGAATCGTCGTCATTGCGAGTTCGAGCGGTCTTTTCTCGTATCACGAGATCTGCTTGAATACTGATCAAAAATTGTTGGCCGACTTGGATACGAATATTTCATGAAGCTTCTTCAACTAACGGAACCCTACAGCTTCCCTAAAGACATATGACACTATCTCGAATCTCTTTTCCTGCATTTCACTTGCGCCTCGTATACTCAAGCATGTTCCCCCATCTGTTGGCCAATATTGGATACAAACCCGCGTATCGACGAAATGCAAGTGCGACGTGCTGCACTTCCGATACCGACTGCAGCGAATACCTGTTCATGCATCGGGGTTTATATCGAGGCTACTTGTCATCAGGCCGCGTAGGTCGCACCTAGCAGAAAGTGTGACGGCACCACCCGTCTACAGTCCCTTCTCTTCCACCTGCAAATGGCACGTACGTGCTAAACAATCGAACGACAGGGCACGAGGAGAAGATCAGCAGGACCATCGCCGTGCTCGCCACGGAGACCACACCGACCAGCCGAACATCGGCGTCGCTCGAGTCTGCGCGCCGCGTCCCGGAACAACGTTCACACTCGCTTTTCCATACGCCGCCGCACGGCGCGTCTGGGAGCTGCACGACTCGAGCGGCTGCCACGACGCGCCCAGTGACGACGAGGGGATTGAGCGGTGGCGACGGTTGGAGGTACACGGGAAAAGCCGACCACGGCGTTGCGTGCCGTGGCATGTGCTGTACAAGACGAGACGTGGGCTTCCGTCGTGGTGCCAGAGAAACGTTCGAATCAGACGTTGACGAACTGCTGCCGCGGCGCAGTACTCGGCGCCATTGCTACGGAGTAACGGCACTTCGTGATCAAGTGGGGTGGCAGTCATGGGCTGAGGAGAAGCGCTGCTACTTTGTTCACTTGCGCGAAGAGTGTCGGAGGTGCGTGGGGACCGTGAAGCCTGTCCTGGTGGTTTGGAACCGGATTCCATCCTGAAACAAAGCCCGTTGGCGGACGACAAGCGCACGTGAATCGGGGGCTACACGGACGCTGGATGAGAGTCAGCAAGTTGTCCCGGACCTCTACACCCGCCTCAATCGACTTTCTGGTGGAAGAATCAGTCGAGTAACTTGATCTGTGCTGCAAGTGCACTGTCATCGAAAGCGTCCCCATCGCTCGCCATCTCGCGCGCGGTCGTGAGATTGTGCTAGGTGCGGGACGTCCACGCAAGGTGTTGTCTGTATGCGGAATGAGCGCGAACAGCGTAGCAGCGAGCTCCACTGCAACCACCAGTCTTTGAAAAGTTTCGATCGTTGTCTTCTGACAACAGGACCCCCATCAGGTGCGTCATGTGTCGAAGCGTGAGAATCACACTGGAAACGAAAGAGGCACATGATATACACTTTCGTTATTGCCAATGTCAGCCGCATCGACGTTGCAACATCTGGATATGGCAAGACCGAACAAAACGTATCGAAGGCACCGACTATTTGTGGTCGTCGTTTCACCGTGTTAAGATGAACGCGTCGATCCCTCACGACGCTGATTGAAAGATGAACACTGACACGAACCAAGGCCAGGTGCATACTCGTAAGCAACGCATGAAGCTCTGTCGATGATACAATGTGTGCAGCGCAAACGCTTCTGATCTCCCAGTCTCAGTATTTTTTGTCTTCCGTTCCGACCTTGGGTTTTCGTATGACTTTTTGACGTGGGTTACAACGTCGTCGTGACGTTTCAGACGTTCAGATCCGTTTTGTGCTTGCTGTGTGTTGTAGTCAACGTGTCCGACCACTCTTTTGTCGACGCTCAGCGATCAGCTGAATAGGCGAGTAATAACGAGCGCTGTCAAAAGTCAGGTGGTGGTTGGTCTACTTCGGTATCGCTGTTGTCGTCAGCTTGGACACATGGCAGTCGCTGCTGATCAGTCATCGATCGCCCAAGGCGGTGTTTGGACACACTTGTGCAACTGGGATCAGCTCTTGAAACGCGTGAGAAGGATTCTGAGTTCTCTTCGGCTTACAGCTTTGCGTCACTTTTCACGATGAAGGTCCGAAGGAGGATCACGCTACATTTGCCATAATCACTACTACGTCCTTGAATAGGGCATTGCTGGTCGCTAATCGTTCCTCAATATGCCTCACCTTTACTACTACTACTACTACGTCCTTAAGTGGGTCCTGCACCAAACAGACTGTCCGTTACCTGACTTTCGCGCAATGGTACCAGTAAGTATTCTATCACCATCGACGTGCAAGGCGTGATGGAGCAAGTCAACGCATGATTGACCCGAGGCGAGCAAACAAGTGAGTATTCAAGGAGTCACATGGTATCAAGTAAAAGTCAATGCCTTATTCTCACTCATGGTGATTAACGCAGCTACAGTGTACCGTACGACTTGCAACCGTAGCGAAACGCGATCACTCGGGTGGGGTTCGTCGTCGATTATAAAAGTCTGCGTACTTTAGCTTGATAACGACTTGCACCGCAGCGTCGAGATGACCTATACGTTCTTGCAGATGCTCAGTGGGTTTAAATGTCTTGGAGTACCAACGCTGGAAGAGTTCGTGTATAAAGTTCGACATTATGCCTTTAGACACTTCATTTGTCCATGACCAATAACGATTTTTCTCACTGGGTGACATATTCTGCAGCATGGCATTAGGTATGTTCATGCGAAAAAGGAAGTTGACGAGTCTCTTTTCCCCACCTAGCTTTTGTTGCAGTACATCTATCACAGTAATCGGCTGTGCCGCAGGCTTGTTTTTGTTGTAGTCGTTCACATACTTCACCATCCGGCCCACCATTTTCTCATCAAACCACTCAGTTTTAAAAAGGCCAGGCCACACCTTATCAAAAGCAGTCGAGGGAGCCACGCCATTGAGCGCGCACATCTTCCAGAAGTCATCTTCCACCTGAAGTACGTGGACGGAAAGAGGGTGATCGTTCTTTGCGGCGCGCAACAGCAAAAGAAATTGAGCTTCCCCACCATAGCGCTTGATGAGGACATCCAAATACGCCATTTCGCCGTTTTCGGCCGCCGTGAGCTTGCTGTAATTGATAAAGGCTCTTATTTTCCGACTTGCGAGGTTGGCTTGGAGTGTCGAGGTCCCGTGTCTAGTATCGTCGAGCTTTAGTATGTCAAACACGTCACTTAGTTTTTTCTTCTCCTTTTGCCAGCTTGTCAACTGATCCATCGCCAGCTTCTCCACGGTAGTCGCAGGTTCCTGAAACCGCGCAGGGTTGTCTTTGCTTGCCTTCAGCGCCGTAGAAAACACGCGAGCCATATTCTCAGCTCTGTAACGCTTGGTGAGATGGTCGATCAATGACTGATCAGACGCTTCGTAGCGGCGGTACAGCTCCCTCAACTCTTCATTTCTCAGTGCAGCATCCAGATCGTTCACCAGTACACGGTTCCGCAAGTTCTGAAGCTCTACCCGCTCCCTCATGGGCTTCGAAATTATGGACAGAAAATCGAAAATGCCCCTTTCGTCGGCGTCGGGCGGACCATCACGCGTTGACGACCTCGAGGCAGTAGCGTCGTCGTCGTTGTCCGGCAATGGACGAACGACCGCCGGGAAGTCGAGCGCTGTCACGTTAGAGCTCGCGGGTTCCAAGACGCCGTCCACACGGGACGAAAGAGCAGATGACGTCAGGAAAACGAGAGAGTAGACGCGCATTGTCGAGAGAACGGAGTTACTGTCGTAGGAAGAGCGGATGGTAAAGTGGGGACTGGATGCGTGCTTCGCTAACGAGCGAGCGATCGCTTGAACCAGCCACGTGGTCAATAGCGTACGTTCGTGCAGCATATTCTACCAATCTGGTGATCGAGCGACCACATCCGCAAGAAGGTGTGTCCCAACCCGCTCTGCTCGATCCGGCCTCGTCCACGTGACTTTCTGCTCGGCTAAATGATGACAGTATGGACTTTTCCAAGCAGATAAGTTAGAGCGATTTAAATAATCAAGGTGGGTAACATGACAACATGCATCAAATAGTGACAAGAATACAAAAACGCTCCAATTATATAATAAAAATGGGAGTCGCATTTGAGCCTTCAGTTTTCGCTAATGAGCCTTCACCCTATACATTAAACAAGTCATTAAATTTAGAGGTCTTTAAATTCTAAATTATATTGATGTGCTTTAAAGAAAGGAGATTTATAAGTAAACACCTACCCTTTGATTGGTACAAACCAACCTAAAATAGAGGCAACTCCTAAAGTACCGTAAACTCCCTAACTAGCTACTGCACACTTATTGATACAAAATGCAATATAAATATTCTTTGCTTTGTGCACACCCCTCCATAATACAGGCCTCATTTGTGTCAGCACACAGCCTTGCGTATGACGTCCGCTCTCATTATCCGGCATCTCCCTATAGGTATCCCTATTTTTACTGCCATTTCCCCTAACTTATAGATGATTATAATTTTTAGATCATGCAATATGCATTCATCTGACTCATACTGAAAGAACAATTGTCGACGGGGGACATGTACCTTCCCAGTTAAACAGTCTAAAGTTACTAATTGCCATAATTAGTAACGTAAATGCACAAGATACAATGGTATCGATTTTAATATCAAGACAGCACTGCGATCGTTAATCCGGTGCGGGGGGTGACTGGATTTACGCTATCGAAATATCGAAAGAATCAATCGAATATGCTTGCACCGCCTGCGGAGGCTGTCAACGCGTCTCCGGAGGACGCGGAAAGGATTTTGCTTTCTCATGCGATAAGTGAACGATGCACCTTATAAAGAAGTCGCTCAAAAAAGTGCCGCTTGGGTGAGATCAGGTAAGTCTGGTTGGGTTGTGCTCATGCTGGTCGGTACAAGAACCGACGGGAATACCTCACGGATGAGTCGCGAAAGCGTCGCAGCTCAACGCGAAGTTGCAAGTGTCCATTTACCGTGACAATTACAAGGGAAACAGTATGCAATGATGATGACAATGACCATACTATTGATTGCAGCGATGGTGTGGAACTGTGGCAGTGTTCCAGTGGTCTTTGGCTATTAAAAACAGCGAACACTACCACGAAGCAGCAGATGATGTATCTGCCTATCCCGCCGCACGAAAAATTATTCCATACAACGTTACGGCGATCAGTGCCATGGCAAGAGCAGGTGCAGCACCCAAGGTCATCTTGGCAACAGTTCGTCAAAGAGATCCAGATTGCAATCACATTCCAAGGAACATATACAACGCAAAAGCGGTGGTCCGGAAAAAACATCTTGCTGGAAGAATACCTATGGAGATGCTGCTGGATGCACTTTAAGCAAATAACATTCCCCATGATTACGACCGCGACGACCAAGGTCGAAATACCAAGCTTTTCCTTGCACCAAGCGTATGCGTTCGACTTGCACGAGAATTTCCTCATGTCATGATCATGGATTGTACATACAAGGCCAATAAGTACGTATTAATAGCATCTGATTTTTAAGATGACTTAATTTATCAGCATTGACCGTTTTTCTCTTCTTATTAGATTTAAGATGTCAATGCTACACATAGTTGGAGTGTCTTCAAGTAATGACAGCTTTTCGGTCGCGTTCACAAATCTTTCGTCCGAGCGAGAAGAAGACTACAACTGGGATTTCTATTATGTAAAATGCATTTTCATCGCCTATTAACTACCTCATGTAGCTGTTACGGATCAGGAACTTGCGTTAATGGCTGCGCTTCGTACGCACCTTTCTAAAGCGCACAATCTTCTTTGTATCATAAATATTTCAAAGAATGTACTTGCCAACTGCCGCAAGCACTTTCAACAAGATTGGGAAACGTTCGAGGCTAAATTCAAACAGCTGTGTTATTCCATCGGTGTTTCATCATACAAGACACATTGGGCTGGCATCTGCAACCGCTATCCTATTTCCGTCAGCAAATACATTGAAAGGACTTGGATATGTTATAAAGATCGGTTTATCCTTGCATGGACCAAAGCATACCGACATCTTGGAAAAGTAGCAAGTAATCGAGCCGAGGGACAGCATGGAGCAGTCAAATCGCGGATAGCAGTGTCGACGGGCGATCTTGCAGATGGTTATCAGAGGATATTGCTTGCCGTTGATCATCAAAACAAGGTCATTCGGCACAGCATTGCCTATAGCCGCGCACATACGCTTATCGCTCTCTTGGGTGATACTTGGGCTGATGTTCAACGAAAATTATCACATAACGCACTAAATAAGGCACATGAAGAGGTAAAGAAGGCACGTATCTCGCCGTCAACTCCATGTACTAATCTCTTTACATCAACACTTGGAATACCATGTTCGCACCGCGTTCGCGACATCTTAGCAACGCGTGGGCGATTTCACGAGGAATATTTTTTCAGTTGTGGTTTGATAGCAACGAGAACACCTGTCACGAAGATACTATCGATCTTACTCTGGAACAAGCCCTGTCACGAATTCGGTATCGCTAATCTCAGCTACCACCACACCAACAGCGCATTCTGTTGTATAGTATTAATATTTTACCACGAGAGAAAGTACTTGTAGAAGTGAATGAACTTCTACCAGTACGGCAGGGTCGCGGTCGTCCAGTTGGCGCTCGTGGGCGTCGCGGAAAAGACAACGTCTCTACTCGCCGCGATCCAAGTGCATTCGAGAATTATTTGTTGCAAACTGAAGCTGTTCAGAAGCCAGACGCTGAATCCAATGTGAACGAACAGGGTCGTAGTCGATTTAAGGGACAACAAACATTGTCAAATCCTCATCCACCAGAAGAAACGCCTACATGTCAAACATAGATGCACAGCAAGGTTGACTACGTCTTACACCGCGCGAAAGAGAGTACAATATCTACCGGAATCTCGTGCATCTTCATTCCCGGACGAGCTGTGATGCTCGCTGCGATAGCAAAAGTTGGTGCAGTGGAGGGAGCGGACGTGATCACCACTAGGTCGTCATTTTTTACCGTTGCCTGCTCGAACTGTTGCAAGCAGACGAACAAAACAGTACCACAAAAAGTTAGTGATTCTGCTGCCGACCCTTTGTCTTGTACCTATCTTTTACCATCTTCTGGCGACGAAAAACTTGACTATTCATCAGCAGCACTTGACTGGATACAGGAATTTAAACTGCGTGTGCTGAGGTGTTATATAGAAACAAATGCGTTAGTACACGTAATGTGTGAAAAGAGCGTAACCTGATGTAATATCTAAGAATTAATACGGTGAAAAGGCACAAACTCACCTAATGCTGAAGCTGCCTGGCAACCGAGTTAAGCAACTGCGTGGCGTCGACGTGAATCTGAGCGATCCGGTGGCCATCTGCTAAGGTAAACACCTAATGGTCACCAGTGAACGCACCTTTGCAGGTCATCGGCCGTGTTTACGTGTACGTGTACGTGTGCGTGGGAGTACATGTGTATGTGTGTTAAGGTCACAAGTTGTGCCTCTTTGCTTTCGCCGCGGGAGCTAGGGCGGCCGTCCAGCCTCATTTCTTCTCGCATTTCAAGCGTTGTTACGTTTTTCTGGACTCTATTTAAATTAAGGAAAATGGTGGTAAAAATAGGGATACCTATAGGGAGATGCCGGATAATGAGAGCGGATCCATACGCAAGGCTGTGTGCTGACACAAATGAGGCCTGTATTATGGAGGGGTGTGCACAAAGCAAAGAATATTTATATTGCATTTTGTATCAATAAGTGTGCAGTAGCTAGTTAGGGAGGTTACGGTACTTTAGGAGGGGTCTCTATTTTAAGGTTGGTTTTTACGCATCAAAGGGTGGGTGTGAATCTATAAATCGACTGAAGACATACCGTTTATTCATCTCATGATCTAGTCAATTGGACCCGTGGAAACCTTCTTCCAAAGCCATATAAAGGACTGAACCAGCTCACAGAAGAGCTGTTTGATTCTGTGGACGAAGGCCCCCACGCACTTGACGAGCTAATACTGCCGTAAGGCTATTTTACAACTATCAAAAGGCAACAAAGGGTGGGTAACCGCAAGAACGATAAGGCCAAAGCAGTGGATCTGCGATGCTCATGCAACGGCCGCCGAACTTATTATGGTACCAAGTCAGATACAGCGCCTCATCGCCAGCGCATGGGATCCAGCCGCGTCACTAGCTGCTTTTTTCTCTGCCACGACTACACGACAGCGACGTCAAGAACAACCAGACCAGTGGTCGATTAAAGTTACTCATGAAGAGCATAATTATGATCCCTTTATAGGTATCAAGGTGCATCCACGTGTACGTGATCTGACGGAAGAACAAGAACAATCGGTGATATCGAGTCTGCGTGCAGGCATCAGAGCTGGTCGCATCGTTGCCTCCCTACTACAATCCGATATTGTGGGTGTTAATGCGCGCGATATATACAACATTCGCGCAATGCAGCGCCGCAGATTGCTAGGAGGAAGGTCTCCACTTACAAACTTGCTTAAAAATTCTAGCAAAAAGAAATGACCAAAACAGAAATGCGCCATACTACGCGAAATTTGATGCTGAGCAGCAGCCCACGCACCTATTTATCGTGTCTCCCTCTTCCAGGGGAATTACTTCCTGTTTCAGCTCAAGTCGAATATTTTTGATTGACGCCACTTACAAGACCAATCGATTTCGACTACCTCTGCTGCACATTGTGGGCGTAACTGCGACCAACAACAGCTACACTTTCCTCTATTGCTTTATGAGAAACGCGACAGAAGGCGA